GGGGTGCATTTGGGCGCATTGCCACTTAATTAAAGGGTTAACTGGGTGCATGGGCAGATAGTCTTCAGATTAATCCATTCAGGGGCAGCACTCTCCCCCTGACGAGTAAAATCGTCTGGCGTTAGACAGAGTAAAATAATAACAGGGTTCGTACAAAACTTGAAAGTCTTTGAATTCTTCTTGCTTTAGTTTTTGGATATTTTCTGAAATTGTTTGACATTCAAGACGGACATTTGTTGAACTGATTTTGCATGTTCATATCTGACCTCATTATAAAGTTACGTTTTGAACAATTCAACGTCAGTTTTTGCTGATTTCTAACGCCTTCTTCTTCAGTATTTAGTCCTTGAATTTGATGATACATGGCCTTGAATGTCCTTGAAAAGTCCTTGAATTTGACTCTTCCTGACATGTACGAACCCTGTAATAAGTGGGGCGCAACTGGGCGCATTGCCACTTAAGGAGTTAATTGAGTAAAACAACAGTGTCGTGTGCGCATTCGAGCGCATTGTATGTTAATGATGGGTTAATCTTTTTTCAGACGGTGTTTATCGTGGTACAAAGTTAGTTAATCTAAAGTCCATTGCTGATCAAGCCTTGGTTAAAAGCCAAGAAATGTAAGATTCACTAACCAAGGCTGTTTTTTTTCGCTCTGTCCTAATTGCGCAAAGCGTGATTTCAGTTGTGCAATCGTGACAATCGTCAGAGCAAGTGCATTTCCATCTCTGAGATCGCGGGTTCAATTCTCGCTGCGGACTCATAACACTTTGTAAAAAATGTCAGTCAACGCTCTACCGCAAGTCGTGGGTTTTCTCTGGGTACTCCGGTTTCCTCCCCCAGAGAATCTCGACAGGGTGGGTTGGGATTAACCCCTAACTGACCCTTCTACCATGGCTGTGTTCCGTGATGAGACATGAGTGATAAGGTGGCTGCCAGAGGCGTCCTTAGAAAGCCTTCGACTCAATCAGGTTGAGCTGCGTCCTTCGTAACTCAGCTTAGCTCTCAGCTGCAAGTAAGGATGATTAGCACTCCTCGCGTACTTACTTAGCCTAGCTTTTTTAGACTTATTTAGTGATACTTTCATGGCGTGTCTGGTGAATACCAAATGCGGTTAAAAACAGTGGCTTACAGACGACAAAGGGTCTTTGCTCAAAATGTCAAAGGGTTTGTGTTTTTTTAAGTACAGTTACATCTTGCACACAAACCAGCAGATCCTATTTCTTTTTTTCATGCAGGGGACATCCAGTACCGTTGTGTGTTGTAGTGAGACATTTAGGATCATCTGAACCAAATGGGGATAAACACAGACCAGCACCAGAACGACCTTGTAACGTCCAGGTTTGTCCCTCACATCTATATGTAAAAGCACTGGATGTTATATCAGCGTTTAAAATTTACATTTCATGCAAATTTGCATAATATGCATGGTCATAAGATGATTGTCACAGCTTTGTTTCACCGTTATTCAGCCACCATTCAAAAAGCTTTCAGAAATTATTGGGGTGGGGGCAATTATCTCCCGTCGGCCACTCCCCTAGCATCCACCACCGAACAGTATCCCCCAAACTACCCATCTATTATATACCAGAAACGTAATGTGATGAAAATCTTGCTTAGATAAATTGGAACAACAGTGTGGATGTCTGGTGGCATGAGGAAATGACTTCAGCCGAAAGAACATGTGAACCTGAGTGGCTGGATGCTGAAGACCCTTTGTTTATGCTTTACACAAGGTAAAGCCTGGTTATAACACCCTAAACACCGTCAAAGTTTCTGTGACAGGCTTAAGTCAGTCTAAGTTTCATTACTCAAGATGACGCATTACTTTTATTCTTGCAGTGGTTCAACAGGCAAGCCAAAAGGTGTTCTTCATACAACTGCTGGATACATGTTATACACTGCAACAACATTTAAGTAAGTTGCATCATTTAATCTTTTGTAACATATTTAGCATTATTCTTTAATGTTATTGAGCCTTATAGACTAAGCTCTGTCCCCTTTGTTATTTTGTTATGTTTTAGGTATGACTTTGATTACCACCCTGGTGAAATATATTGGTGTACTGCAGACATTGGTTGGATCACTGGTCACAGCTACATCACGTATGGACCAATGGCAAATGGTGCAACCAGCGTGATGGTCAGTATACGTGTCTCAACACTATCTAAAGTATCTTGAGTCATAGTCATAGTCATAGTAGTCATAGTCATAGTCATGGTAATCATAGTCGTAATCATAGCTTTATAGTAATTTGTAATTTAATTAATTTGTAAAAAGGTAGAGTGCCTCGCATGGGACTTCGAGTTCCGTTTGCACTCGTACCGTTTGGTGTGTCTTGTTTTACTGTCCATTGTGTCCAATAAAGTTTACAATATAAAAAATATATAATTTGTTGTTTAGTTTGAAGGAACCCCGACATATCCAGACGCAAGCAGAATGTGGGCAATATGTGAGAAGTATAAAGTATCGAAATTCTACACCGCTCCAACTGCCATCAGGTCACTCATGAGGTTTGGAAAGGAACCGGTGGAAAAGTAAGTCAGATAAAATTATATTGGTTGATTCCATTCTCAACTGAGATGGATTTCATGATCATCTTGAACGGTTGTCATCATTTCTTCAATGTTCGCAGACACAATCGTGATTCATTAAAAGTCCTGGCTACAGTTGGAGAACCAATCAATCCTGAAGCGTGGTTGTGGTATCGTGATGTCGTCGGCAACAAACGATGTCCTGTCGTTGATACTTACTGGCAGACTGAGACGGTAAGGGGAGGATATACAGTTTAGGCGCTGTGTTCATATGGAGCTGGCCTGGCCTGGTTAACTGGGATGATTGGTTTAATACTTTGAACGCGATCCAAACAATTTTGAGAAATTACAAAATGCCTATTTTGAGTATCATTTGCTGTATTGTGCGGAATTTACGTAATGTTTCGGCAAAATATCAAAACATTTTTATATTGTGCGGATTCGAAGGAATTTGAAGTAAATTTTTGTTATATTCCGCTAATTTCGGACAACCCTATTGCTGGCCAGTTGGAATATCTAAAAAATGCTAACGGATAGGGTTGTCAGAATTTCGGACAACCCTATTGCTGCCCAGCATAGTACTTGTGAAACGTCTTGATGAGAACATTCGTATTCTTCAACAATTTAAAATAGATGAATGATATTTGGTGAGAAAATTGAACTTAAAGTTTATGTAAATCAGCATGGTTTTGTATCAGATATACAAACTCCTTCACGCTCATGATTTCGTTCGTGTTTTCTTCATGAATTATCAATGTGTTTCACAATATGTTATATACAGGGTGGACACGTGATCACATCTCTTCCTGGTGCGACGCCAATGAAACCTGGATCTGCTGTAAGTCCATAGCTTTTGCGTGATCATGTGATCGTATTCTGCTTCTTGATTGGACAACAACCTCGATTTTCAATGATTTTCTAGACTTTCCCGTTCTTCGGAATTGTGCCAGCAATTGTCGACAAAGATGGAAAGGAGTTAGAGGGAGCTTGTGAAGGAGTTCTGGTAGGAATTTTGGAAACGTTTTTATTGCCCCCCGTCCAAACATTGTCTTCTAGTTCTAATATCGGCTAAGGATGTACAGTTTCTGGTAAACAGACCACTTTCATAACACAAATGGTTTAAATATTCGTGTTCAATTTCAAAAAAATCTGTTCAATTTCAGTCACAAAAATGAGGTCAAGATGGGTTATGAAGATGTACATAAAAGAATATTTAAACCTATCAGTATTGGGATATACATTGTCTGTTCTATACATTGTCGTTTCGCATATGAAACTTTCATGTTTGTCAAAAGCTTTAGACAATCTGATCAGCCAATGACGTTTACCTAGCCTCGTGTTGATTGGCTGATCTAGTTGAAACATTAAATTCAGTTCCCTCAAACATTTCTTACAAATCCTTCAAAACTTAGAATTTACCAATGCAAGATTCGTGCTTGTGATCACAGAAACTTTGAAAAGATTTGAAAGATTTCTACATCGGAAAGCAGTTATATAATAGTGTTCTTCTGTTGTGGTTTTTGTTCAGGTGTTAAAGCAACCCTGGCCAGGCATGATGAGAACAATTTATGGAGATCACGCTCGCTTTGAGAGCGTTTACTTCAAGAAATTCCCTGGATATTATTACACTGGAGACGGTACGATGATGCATGAGAAGCCTTGAAGCTAAACTAACTTTATACTGGATAGCTCTATCAGTTCTTAACTGTTCTTCCTAGAGGTCCAGTAAGGATAATCTCTTATTGATCCAGTGTTACTACAGGAGGAAACCTAAACTAAACTCAACTAACTTTATACTGGATAGCTCTATCAGTTCTTAACTGTTCTTCCTAGAGATCCAGTAAGGATCATCTCTTTCATCTCTTATTGATCCAGTGTTACTACAGGAGGAAACCTAAACGAAACCAACTTTATTTATACTGGATAGCTCTATCAGTTCTAAACCGTTCTCCCTAGAGGTCCAGTAAGGATCATTTCTTATTGATCCAGTATTGCTACAGGAGGAAACCTAAACTAAACTAACTTTATTTATACTGGATAGCTCTATCAGTTCTAAACTGTTCTCCCTAGAGGTCCAGTAAGGATCATTTCTTATTGATCCAGTGTTACTACAGGAGGAAACCTAAACTAACTTTATTTATACTGGATACCTTTATCAGTTCTAAACTGTTCTTCCTAGAGGTCCAGTGAGGATCATCTCTTATTGATCCAGTGTTACTATACTATATAGAGTGTGTCTCATACGAACGTAGTCTAAATTATGCAATCATCTTGTTTTACAGAGTGTAAGCGGGATAAGGATGGATACTATTGGATAGTAGGTCGTGTTGATGATTGTATGAATGTGTCGGGACATTTATTGAGTACAGCTGAGATAGAGAGTGCTCTTGTTGAACACGGCGCTGTCTCTGAAGCTGCTGTGGTAAATATTACTGCCTTATTTTATTGACAACTAACCCTAAAAATGTTCTCAGAGGAAAACGGTCAGGACGTTTATGTTGTGCTTGTAATTTATTTAGGTTGGTTATCAACATGCAATCAAAGGCGTTGGGATATTTTGTTATACAACGTTAATGGAGGTATTACCGAGCTTATGTTTTTTTCATATGTGTTTTGAAGCTTGCCATAAACTGACACAAGCACATCTGACGTTCGGGTTGACAAAAACGCTATTGTATCAGTGAGGGAATGGGGCAATTGCCTCACGCCCCACAACTAATTTCTGAAAGCTATTCAATGATATAGCTGATGAGTTGTGTCATAAGCTCTACTAATGATTTAGAACTAGAAAAGCCACAGGGTCGTCCATTTAGTATGTACAAATAGTACAATGTATAATTTCTCTTGTTCATTGCGTGCAAAGAGGGTGGAGGTGGTAAGATTTTTGCGTGCATACAAAATGGATCTTAGTTATTTTCAATCATAATTTTTCACTTCAGGGATTTGAATTTACCAATGACTTGGTGAAGGAGCTGAAAGATAAAGGTGTGTGGTTGATTAACAAATACTCTTCAAACGTTCTGTTCTATCGAGCAAGGTGCCCATGTGTATATACAATTCGAGTGAACTGTATCAATGGAACAAGATATCAATCTTGTAATGTCGGAGTCCTTAACGCCTGTATTCTAAAAGCTCACTCACACTCAATGAGTGGAGGTTGAATCTGAGCTTCCCTTGAGTGTCAGTGCTGTTTTTAAATAGCTGGAGGGTGAGTAGTCACATAGTAAGGTATGAAACTAGCCCTCCAGCTATTCAAAAACAGCATTGATACTCAAAGGAAGCTCAGATTGAACCTCCACTCATTGAGTGTGAGTGAGCTTTTAGAATACGGGCGTAAGGCTCATTTACCCTTGCAACGCTAGACGATTTGACTTTTCAAAGGGGAGAGGGAGAACGCTTTCGCTCAATGTGTTAACTCGAAATATACATTGGAATAATAATGTGTACTCAAATGTGACCATTCTTTCCTTCTTAGTTCGTGAAAAGATTGGACCAATAGCGACGCCGGATGTTGTACAGTATGCCCCAGGCCTTCCTAAGACTCGCTCGGGTAAGATCATGCGACGTGTGTTACGCGAACTGGCGCAAGGTAACTCATCATTTGGTGATCAAACCACCCTCGCTGACCCCAGTGTCGTCGACACTTTACTCAAACTTAGACCTCAAAATATCCCGGGGATGTAGGGTTCTTTGAGGTCTTTTGTGGATGCTTAGGATTTGTTATGGATATTTAGGATTAGTTATGGATATTTCTATTCAGCGAGATATATATCGCCAAACCGCGATTCTTATAGGTACATTCTTAACATTTTAGAACTAAATCAATTTTAAGTCACATTTTTACCATCACTAGTAGAAATCATTACGTTTGCAATTATTTTAAAATATTGCTGGACACTTCATGAAATATTGGGAGATTTGCGTCAACATTCAGGCCTCCTTACAGTGTTGTAACTTT